CCAACGAAGAAGATGCGCAGCAGCAGATCAAGGAGCACTTCAAGGTCCATGAGACGCAGGCCGAGAAGATCAATCTGGCTCTCAAGGAGAGCCGTGGGCACATGCCGATCAAGTACGCCTACTTTCCCCCTGTCCTCCTGCTCATCTACATGCACCCCAGTCCCAGAGGTACATAACACCTGCATCAATGCCCGCACCCTTTTGCTTCACTCGTAGCACGCCGAGTCAGATCTTCGATTTATGATCTCGACTCTGCGGGTTATCTGAGGATTGTTGAATTGCTTGAACCCCAAGACAGCCCACGCATCACCGGTGCTAACTCGCGATAGTCATCTACTCAGCAAAATCCAAGCCCTTGGCAAGGCTGCCTTTGGCAAGAAGCCAGTGACCCTCAACGGAGATCCCGTTGCCACGCCCGTGAAGCGGCGGTTGCTGGTCTGAGTGAGACTGAATGGATATTTTCTGGCGTCGGTCGTTTGTTTGCAGTTCGTATAATGATACAATACCCCGTGCAGTTTACGAAAGGACACAGGGCTGATGGGCTGGGTCGGCGGCCGGTCAGGCGTTTCTACGGGGTATATCGGTGGGTGGCTGCTGGGGTTTGCTTGGTATGGGAAGGCGCATGGAAGGGGGTTACATATCAGAGTCTTGTTCTGATTACATCGCATCGCTAGCTCGCCGTCTAGCTGGGCGCGACGCGGGATTTCCCACGCAATACCCAATCAGTATCGGTATCTAAAGCATCGGTCCCTCACGGCTTCACGAACGCCATGACGGCGTACCGGAAGCTCCCGTTCGCGTAGCCCCTTCTCATGGCTCGAAAGGCCTGCAAGAAGGCGATGCCGTCCCGGCCCTGGCTGAAGGCGAACGCCCACAGCGAGGGGTTCTGCACCAGCGACCACGAGATGTCCCTGGACCGGTAAGTTACAGAGCAAGGAGCAAGGGAAACAGATACATACCACGTCTTGCTCACGTCCTTGCTGATATCCTTTGGCCCGCCCAGCAGCTCCAAGCCGGCAGCCCTCGCCATGTCGACATACGCTTGCTGCGTGCAGAGTGGCGGGAGGAGCATGCCATCTGAGGAGCGTCAGCCAAACACCCTTTCCCAGAACACAACCAACCCACACCACACACCGCTCGTAACAAAATAAAAGGTGTAAAAAGAGAAAGAAAAAAACAGAAAAAAAGAAGCGAAAAAAGAAGAAAAAAACGAACCCTCAATAGGCTTGATATCCCTCTCAAACTCGCCCTCCCCCAGCCCCTCAGCCCGGAACCAATCCGCCACCACCAGCCGCCCAGAGCCCTTACTCTTACCCCCCTCGCCCTTCTCCCTCCCCGCATCAAGCAAGCGCGCCGCATCCCAAAAGAAGCGCGTCTTGTCCGGGAAATGCGACAGCGCCTCGCTCACCCACACCACGTCGAACCCGCCGGACGACGAAAAGTACTCCCCCATCTTCTCGGCGTCGAGCTCCAGGAACCGCGCCTGCCCGCCGCTGCTCCCGACGGGGATGACATCCCCTTGGTGCTCCCCTTTCTCCAGATTGGATGAGGTCCCGGTCCCAGCCTCGGACGAGGACGAGGGCGAGGAAGATGCGGCCTTGCTCAGCCGCCGCGCGATCTGCACCTGCTTCCCCGAGATGGTGATGCCCGTCACGGAGGCGCCCAGCGTCGAGGCCAGGTGGCGCGAGGTGCCGCCTACGCCGCAGCCGACGTCGAGGACGCGGAGGGGTGGTTCTGATGCGGTTGGGGTCGGGGTGACGGTGGTGGTGGTGGTTGTAGTGGTGGTGGTGCCGTCGTCGTCTCCTGCTGGGTAGAACTCCTTGGAGAGGGCCGAGATGGAGAGCAGCAGGCGGATCAGGTTCAGCTGGGCCGTCTCCTTGGTGTCGGTTGCCTTGGAGGCGGCGGTGGGCCAGTAGCCGTGGTGGATGTGTTCACCCCTAGGAGAAAAGGCGGGGTGGTGGTTTTAGGGAGGGGTTCTGGTTGGGAGAGAGGGGCGCGTCAGTGGGAAGGGAAATGCGCACCACAAATTCAAGTAGTAGTCGCTGGCCAGGTCGTAGTGCAGCTTGATGCGGTCCTTGAGGGCCTGCATCGTTGTGTGGGCGAGGCCCAGCGGCGTGTCGTATTGCTTGCTGAGATCGGTCGTCTCATCGCTGGCGGACTTGGCGGCGGTGGGAGCAGACATGATGGCGACTGCGGGGGTTGTGAGGAGTAGTTAACTCTATGGATGAGTATTAATATTAGCGTTACGGATATCGGTGTGAAGAAAAACGTAAACAAAGGGAGTCGGTGTGGTACACAATTTATGTTCCTGCAGATGCAGCCCAACCCCAAGCTTTTCCTCGGCACCTTTGTGGCTTTTGATGACGCTTGCCTGCATGTCCAGTCTCGTTCTTCAACTGCAGTGAACAGAGGGCACCTTGGAAGATCTCTGCCAATCATCTTACATACACAGCACATTGCCATCGCTCCACCCCGAAGCAGTCCGCGACGGACACAAAACGACAGAACAACCCGACCCCAGCAATCCACTGGGACACCTCAGTGCTAACGGGCATGGAGATATCTTCATGGAGAGGATTAACCAAGATTGACACAACTGGGACATTCTGGGCCTGTTTTCTTTCATTTTTCCTCACTGGGGGGTGATTCGCGATGAATTCAGTTCCATTAGACATGGGAATTTGGGAAGCCGGGGGCGGCTTCTCCTGCCTGGGGCTAAAATGGTTCGCCCCCGGCGCTCCGCACAGACCAAATCTACCTTATCCAAAAAAATCCAAACCAAACCAAGCCAAACCAAACCAGATTGCTAGAAATTTGAAGCTGTTAATGATTTTGTACTACGTGCAAGTTGGTGGCTATAAAGCTATACCCTGGTTTGTCTGTTGGCGTGGTATAAACACCCTGAG